AAATGCAAATGGAAAATGAACATTTAAAAGTAGAATTTAAACAGTCCATCCTTGTTCTGATTTTAATTATCAGATGAGGTACCAGTGGGACCCAGCTGTGGCTCAGGGTGGCTCAGGGTAATGGTATCGTGCTGCTAGATAAATACCCAGACATCCTAGAAAATGGGTAACCGGTCAGGCTGGGACAACATATTTTTGGACTCTGAAGTATTTATTCCCACAGCTTTCCTGGTTTATAATGACTTTTATTTTTATTGTTTGGAAGGATTAAGAAATAAAAGCAAATATTAAAAATAAACCACCAGCCGCTGATGCTGCCAAGAGAAAGCTGCTTGCTCCAGCATTATTGGAAAACCCTCTTCTGCCGTCAAAGCCCCCATACCAACTGCCTGAAGAGTTTATACTGGGAATTAATGACCAAACAAAGCCCAAAGCCGGGATGATGACTGCGATTGTGCACACTTTCACAATGAAACGGGCCAAGCCGTGCATTCACTCGTAAGCTGGCTGTATCGACTTGAATTTTTAAAAATTGTAACCATTCTTGAGTAATGCGTCTTCTCCCAGGCAGGAAAGGCCTGTGGGGAGTAATAAGCACATATGCCTCTGTCTATAAGACTCATACATTACTGACTATGCCTTCCCGACAGGAAACATCTGGATGAAAGTGAAAAATTAGGCAGAGAGCTGTAGCCCTCGGTGCTGCTCAAGATGCCAGCCAGCCTTGTCTGTTTCACGTTGTGGAGAGCCAGCGCTCCTGCCCCCACCCCACCCCACCCCCACCCCAGCCCCATGTGCACTGCTATGTGAGGGGCTTGTTCACTCTTGGGTGAGAGCCACATTCTCAGGGTCTCACTGGTCTCTTGAATCTGCTCAGTCCTTTCTTATCAGGTAAGTGAGCAAATGTCCACCCTTGATAGAGAGGCTGAGGACAGAGCATATACGCTGTCTAGTGGGGCTGAACAATAAGTGTCACTGAGTGGTTGTGTGTGCAGGTTTGGTCTTTAAGAGTGGGTTAAGAAGCACTGGGCCTTTCATAGCTGAGTTACTGGGAGCATGCCTTTGAAGGGGACTGTGGGACCTTGGTCCGTCTTTGTCTCTGCTCTGATTCTAGATGTGACCATTTGTTCCAATACACCCTCTGTCATGGTGTGCCACCATCTGCCATTCTCAATGGAGGCCAAGCCAGTAGAGACGACTGACTTTAGACCTTGACTTTGCTTACTTGCAAGCTAACTAGACCTTTTATATTGATAGGTTATCTGTCTCCGGTATTTTTATTGTGCTGATGCAAAGTTGATTAATATAATGCCATGTTGATTTGTTCTTGAAGCATTAAAAATGAGATTTACAGGGGAAACTGCAAAGATCTACCATCTAACAATACCATTTTGCTCAATAACAAACTGGCATTTACTCTCCACTTTGAAAAACTATGAGGCCAGAATAAATAAAGCTGAACTGATAAGCAAATGTTTTTATAACATGTTAAAATCTGTGATGATTCTAACAGGTTTGTAATATTTCATTAAGTTATTCAACCATGGAGACCTCTTTATCCTCAATGACTTCAAATACCTTGCTTTGGTAGTTGTATTAATCAGCTTTCTGCCACCATGACGAAACATCTAAGACAACCAATTTATAGAGAACATGGCTCACATTTTTTGGGGGTTCAGTCTGGACGTATGGTGAGACAGCATGTTATGGTTGGGGTTTGTATTAGAGCAAAAACCTCTGACTTCATGGCCAGGAAGCAAGAGAAAGAATCTGAAATGTTTGGGACGCCGCAGTCCCCTTCTGGGCTGCACCTCCTACCAACTTCCAGTAGCCACACTAGCACACTAGGGACACAGCGAAACACACAGGCTACAGGAGCTATCCAGAATCCCAGGCATGGCAGAAGCCGCCCTAACTCACCACATCAGTGTGGTTGTCGTTGGCTTCCTCCTTGATGCGTGTTCCTGAAGGCCACCTGCCACCCTCCTGCTGACACACACGATCTTACAAGAGTCGGTGAAACTTACTCCTTCAGGTTGGAAGACAGATGCACACAGATCCACCGCATCTGCCCTCTTTCTGATGAGTTATGACACTTAAAAACAAAACAAGAGCCAACCTGACCTGTTAGTTGTGTGTTTTCCTTGGAGACATATGGATTTAGTTTCAATTTTGTTTCCTGAAATTAAATCCCTTTACTTCCTGATTCACAATAAAATTGCACAAAGTTTCAGGATTATTCACAGCCTTTGGTGAGGAATCTAGTGAAATACTGTCAAGGCCTAAACAAATCTCCCAGCTGCCCTTTTAAAAGCACAAGCACTTTCAGAGAATGGGTGGAAAATCTGGCAGGTTAACCAGGCAAGATTTTCTCATTTGAAAAAAATCAGTTGTGTTCTTTGCAAAACTCAGTAATCCATTCTATCAATCCCAATCACTATCATGAGACTAGGATTCTGCTGGTCTCTCTGTCCATCACACTTGCTCTGGCTCCACCTCTGTATATTATCCCCAGAAAAACTAAAGCCAAAAGCAATTTATTTTTAAATGAAAATGTGACCTCGATTGACTTCCAGCTTTTCCAAATAAACAAAAGCCACACAAATGTGCATGCACACACACAAGCACTGTTGACTGAGGCAGTCTCACACAAGGTAAGTCTAAAAAGCCTCCAGAAATCAATAGGATGCAGGGGGCAGGTGGGAATAGGGAAGGGGGCAGGTGGCACTCTATGCAGGTAAAGAACCTCCTAGTTGCCACGGTACCAAAGGAAAAGTCTCACAAGTCTAGGAAAAGTGGGCTTTTTTTTTTTCTTTCTTTCTTTCTTTTGGCTTTCAAGACAGGGTTTCTCTGTGTGGCCTTGGCTGTCCTGGACTCACGTTGTGGACCAGGTTGGCTTTGAACTCACAGAGATCTGCCTGCCTCTGCCTCCCTAAGTTCTGGGGTTACAGGTGTGTGCTTAGCTGGCTAAGGCTTTTTATTTTGTTTTATTTTATTTTAGAATAACCTTTGGAGGTGGGGGGGGGCGGTGACAAGCCCTGAAGTTTGGTAACAGAAGTTCAAAAGCTGCTTATTTGGGACACCCTATCAATGTTGAGGTCTCGCGCCTATCCCCCTGGAGCTGTTTGCAGCGTTCAGCATCCCTGCACTGTCTGGTTTCCTTTGTCCCTGATGACCTGCGTTTTTCACTTTCATGTGAACGGCCTGTGAGTTTGTGAGGAGAAAGCCAACAATTTGCTACATCCTCTTTTTGAATTTTCCTTTTCTTTTTCAATTATGTGTATGTGTCTGTGTGTGAGGATGTGCATGCAAGCGTGGCTGCACAGACAGGCTAGAAGCATCCAGTTTCTTGGAGGTGGAGTTATAGGGAGTTGTGAGCCACCTGATGTGAGTGCTGGGAACCAAACTTGGGTCCATGGAGCCATCTCTCCAGTCCCTTAATTTTTTTTTTTCTTGATGAAATGATTTCCCTTTTATTCTTTCTTGTCACATGGCAGTCACTGGAACAAAGTTTCTTAGTTTTTTGCCTTTTCATCCATCCACTGAGCCATCATTGCTGAGTGCCTGTTAGATACCTTGTGTTTGCAGCTAAGAGTTAAAAAGAGAAAGAACAAAAGCTTTGTCCCCTGAAGCGTCCACGTAGCAGGATGAGATACTCAACAAGCACAGTAAAGATATGAATGGAATGGGCCCTTAGGGTCACTGAAAGAAGGAAGACACAGGCGACAGGGTTTGGAAAACCAGTAGATTTGAGCTATGGGGGGTGTGTGTGCATCAAGCAGAACACTCACACACTGGGCCTATCCCATTCAGGCATTAGAAGAATCATGGAGGGACCCACAAAGCCCTCAGGAATCATGGAGGGACTCACAAAGCCCTCAGGAATCATGGAGGAACCCACAAAGCCCTCAGGAATCATGGAGGGACCCACAAAGCCCTCAGATAGTCGGGCACCTTAGATATTTTGAGTCCATGAGACTTGGAGTAGCCAAAAAGAATTAGTTTTGTTGTTGTTGTTTGCTCAGTTGTTTGGTTTGGCTTGGCTTTTTGAGACAAGGCCTCATCATGTAGCTTAGGCTGACTTCAAACTTGCAATCCCCCTGCCTCCACCTCATGAATGCTGGGATTATAGGCAACAAGTTGTGCTCTGCCTCTGGTCCCATAGTGAGACTCAATGAGCTAGAGGTGAAAGATTCAAGGAAGCATCTAGAAACCATCAGGGGCACACCTGCTGCTGAAAGAGGTAGCCAGGACACACTTCTTGGACAGCCTGTCCTGTCCATATCTCCTTCCACAAAGAGTTGGGATTGGATGTTCGGGAAGCTAGCTCAGAGGCAATGCAAACACCAGCTTTTCAGTGCACAGTTGATAGGGAAGGGAGGGCCATTGTGTTGAGAAAGGAGGATGCCCAGAGTCTTCAAGAATTTGTGACATCTCAGAACCTGATGATCATTCTAAATTTGTCTTAAAGATGACCGTGGCCTGGCTCCCCACCTAGCGTTCTGCTGAAAAAACAATTTTTCTCCCATGCCAGCACTTCCATGTCTACGACATGACTCAGCCCTATGAAGGGCGTCACCATTCAGAAAACATCCTACCTTAGTGGGTAGTTTGAAGCTCACAATCTCAGACCTGGCTGGGGGCTCCGGAATGGGAATTTGCATTTGAACAGGCTCCCAAATCAATCCATTAAACATTAAAGTTTGAGAAACACTGCTTTAATTTTCTCCTGAGTACCTCAAAGTGCCTCAGGCCATGTCTGGGGACAGAGCCAGACATGCAGTATGAACCACTGATTTATGGTGCCTGGGTGGGTGGGACACCAGAGAAATGGAAGCCGCTTTGTTTTCTGTAGAATGAATAGGCTGAGGGCCCCAGCAGGTGAGACCCTTTGATGTGCCACCTGGACACCGCCACCTCTGCACCTGGCCCAGCTCTTCACCCCACTTCGGAGAGAGGCCTGTTCCCTAAGGGACAGAATCTGTCTTCCTGTCTCTTACCTCATTCAACTTTTCAGGACTGAATACAGACATCAGGGCACCTCTGACTTCTTCCCATCTTCTGCCACGCAACAACAGGATGCTGTCTGTTACTAGCTTGGGTTCCAGACCTGAGGCCTGATGGAAAGCAACAAGCAGAGGGTTAGCACCCAGGGAGGCAAAGCCTTCTTAGTGGCTGTTCGAGTGAGCTTTAACTGTCAGTCAAGTCATCTGAGAAGGGACCCCCAACTGAGGGGTGGAACAGATCAGACTGGCCTGTGGACAGTTATCTTGCTTGATAGTTGAGGGAGGCAGGCCCTGCCTACTGTCCCACCCACTGTGGGCAGCACTGTTCGCTGGGCTGTATAAGAAGCTAGAAGTCTAGCTACAAGTGTCTACAAGTCTACAAGTGAGCCAGCATTCTTGAGTGGTTTTCTGCTTTTAAGATCCTGCTTGAGTTTGGGTCCTGACTTCCTTCAGTGATGGACTGTGATCCTTCTGGAGGGACAAGCCAAATAAATCCTTCCTCTACAGAGTTGCTCTTGGTCAGAGCATTTTATCACAGCAACAGAGTGAAACCAGGACAGTGGCAATTGAAGGGCATAAAAAGCATCCCGATTAAAGTCCACCAAATGACCCAAACCTAAATTTTTCTTGCAAGGACACAGAACAGGATTATAATGTTCATAGGCAAGGATCTAAGACCTACAGCTGAGGCAAAAAAAAAAAAAAAAAAAAAAAAAAAAGGGACAGACGGACAGATCTGCCAGCCTTGTTATAGTGTGGACTCCATCCAAACAACTTGACAGCGTCAGGGTGCCCTGAGGCCCCCATGGAACCCTCTGAGGATGACCAAAATGGGCTTCCTAGGTTGAAGGTCAGTTCTGAATTTTGTGGCAAGAGACTTTGGGTGTCTGGGTTGATGGATTTGGCTCAGACATAACAGAATCATGTGTCCATGTTCCTAGGATGTTGGAGGCGTGAGAAAGGACTGATGAACAAGGCTCCTTCAGAAGGATCCCAGGACAGCTGTTGTGAAGGGCTTGTCTGCTCTGTGGGTCTACGTTCTAGTGGTCATTGTGTTTTCTTTTAACTTTAACTTTGAAAATTTCATATGTGAGCATTTGCATCATCCCCTCCCTCTACTCCCATGCCCACCCCTGCTGACTCCTCCTCAATTTCATGATTTCTTATTCTTTAGTTACAGATACGCACATGCACACATGTGCATACACACACACACACACGCGTGCATGCACACACACATACCCACAAATCTGCTGAGTTCATTTAGTTCTGCTCACCTGTGTTTAGAGCTGACACTTTGGTTTTGGATAACCTACTGAGGACTCGTCCTTGGAGAAAACTTATTCTCCCTCTCCCAGCACCCATTAATTGCCTGCAGCTCTTCATCTAGAAATGGAAACTTGCGAGATTTCCCCATATGTGTTGGTATGTCAGCTGGTGTTGTCATTTATTAGGCCTTGTCATTTTTTTCTTTTATTGCAAATATATCTTTTTCATGCAATATATTCTGATTACAGTCTCTCCTCCCCCCACTCCTCCCAAGGTCTTTCTTTCAAGCCTTGTTTAGGCAGCAGCAGCGCTGAGAATTCCTGGTGCCACCTCACTGTCCTGTGGAAGACACTATCTTGAAGCAGGCGTTCCAGTCCTCTGGCTCTTACAATCTAGGTCAACTGTTCTTTGCATTTCGACCAGTTGTAGCTTTCTGCAGTGGTCTCCGTTGGCTGCAAAAAGAAGCTGAGTCGATGAAGGGTGAGATCTGCACCTACATATATGCAAGTCGTGTGTCCAAAGGTAGGCCCGGGAGTGTGCCTATGACACAGGGCACGTGGGAGTCAGAGGGACGCGGCAGGCACAGGGGATGCATAGCCTGTGTCTGGAGTTAGGCCTGTGAGGGTCATTATTTTTTTTTTCTTAATCAACCTAGGTTTGTTAAATGTCCAGTATAGGCATTATGACTTGAACTGTATCTCTTGAAATGTTATATACTGAAATTTGAATCCCTAGAACCCCATATTTGATCATAGAGATTTTAAAAGGTCATTAAAATAAATAAAGCCTTTATGGTGAGCCCAAGTCCAGTGTGTTTGGTGTCTGGATATTCTTATAAGATTGGGAAGCAGACAGAGGTGGCGATATAGAAGACAGTCATTTAAGCCAAAGAGATAGGTCCCAGATGATATCAACCCTGACCTCGCTCATACTGCCAGCCTTTCCAGAACTGTGACAAAATGCATCTCTGTGTGTGAGTCCCTCAATGTAAGATAGTCTGCTGTGGTCTTCCAGAATAGGAGACACTTTGCTTTGGCCCTTGTGTTGGTTTGCTTTCTATTGATATAACATAGGCTATAACCAAAAGCAACTTGGAGAGGAAAGGGTTTATAGCTTTACAGGCTATAGTCCATCATGGGGGGAATCAGGGCAGGAACTTGGAGGCAGGAACTGAGGCAGAAAGCATGGAGGAAGAGTACTTACAGCTCCTAAAGGTTTACTCTGCTTGCTTTGACCTGCCTAGGAGTGGCACCTCCCACAGTGGGTGGGGCCCAGGGCCCTCCCACATTAATCAGTAATAATAAAATTTAAAAATGCCCCACAGAATTGACTGCAGACAAATATGACGGGGGGCATTTTCTCAGTTGAGGTTCCCTCTTTCTAGATGATTCTAGCTTGTATCAAATTGACAAAAAACTAACCAGCTCAGCTTTAATGAGGCTGACAGTTGAATGGAGAAGTAGAGAGTAATGAATATCATTGCAGTTTATGAGAAAGTGAGGCTTCTCAAGGGGAAGGTTGGGTATGGGGATGTGCTGTGGGGGTAACATGGTCAGGAGGTCTCTGAGAATAAGTCACCTAGAAACAGAGCCAAGAAGCATACAAAGCAGCCCCTAGCCACCTGCTCCTTCCCCTTCTCCCCCAACCCATTCTTTTCCATCCTAAGAGCAGCTATCCCAGTGGTGGTTCCAAATGGTGTCCTCACTGTTGGGCAGCGTGGCCCCTAGCCCTAGGATGCAGGGGGATTACAGGATCAAGCGCTCTGCAGAGCCATGTGTGCCACGGGCTCCACTATTTCCTTTCACTGTTTTAATTATAGCTGAAGCATGAAGACAGCCATCATAATTCAAATGCCTTGTAAAAACTCCTATTTAGAGGAAAATTATAATTTTCTGATAAAATATGAACACTCAAAATAAGCCATAAAACATAACTGCAAAGTATCTAGAGGATTTAATTATATATTAGAACCAAGTTGCTGGGATATTTTTCTGCAGAGGAATACCTCTCTATATTTAGAATGAGATTCTTTAGGAGTGCCATGGCCACTAAATTATGGTTTTATGGAATTTTTGGAACATAATCTGTTTATTTAGGTTCCAGAGTGAAAGGAGGAAATCATACATTATGGATATTTATAGAGTGGCAAAGCCCCAGCCTGTGCCACGCTGCTAAGACTTTTCACTCAGAGAAAAAGTGAGACACAGGTTTACACAGTTTCTACAGTTCTGCTAAGACTGACTCGCTTGTTGAGTCAGGGTCGAGACTAACTGGATTTGGTCCATCCTTAAGACCTAAAAGTTGGGGCCTGGGGAGCTAGCTTAGTTGCCACAATGCTTGTTGTGCATTGAGGCCTTGAGTTCAACCCCCGGAACCCATGTGAAAAAAAGTGTGCACTCGTACGCTGAGCACTGGGGATGTGGAGCTGGACAGACCTCTGGGGCTCACTCGTCATCTACCCTAGCTTACTCGGCAAGCAAGCTCCAGGACGGTAAAAGTCGCTGTATCAAAATAAAAAATGAAAAACAAGAATGGCACCTGAGAAATGACACCTGAGGTTGACTTCTGGGACACACACACACATAGCTGCGCATTTGTATGCAGATGCTAAAGACCTAAGGACCGGGTCCCTGCTATCTCATTCTCCATGGAATAAGTTAGCAGACTCTCACCACAGCCCATTCGCTTACTGCACCCTTAGCCTAGATGTTCTGTTGGCATTCTCCATGGTTCTGCGGTGTGTATGTGTTCTTTTTTCTTTGTTTGTTTTTTTGTTTAAGACAGGGTTTCTCTGTGTAGCCTTGGCTGCCTTGGACTCACTTTGTAGATCAGGCTGGCCTTGAGATCCACCTGCCTCTGCCTCCTCCTCAAGTGCTGGGAATAAAGGTGTGCACCACCATGCCTGGCTGTGTGTGTGTGTGTGTGTTTGTTTGCTGATAGTCAAAGTCAGGGGTAACATTCACAGGAGTATTTCATGTCTAAACATGTATTTGAAATGAAAAGACTAGTAATTGTTCTTTTCAAAAGATGGTGAGAAGGTATTAATGTCAAGGGTAGTAGCTACTTTTCTTGTGGCTGTGACCAAAAACCTGACAAGAACCAGCTTAGAGAGGAGAGGGGCTTATAGTTTGAGGGGATACAGTCCTTCATGCTGGCAGAGGCCTACAGCGGGCTCTGTGGTGGTGGGAGGGGTGTGTGGCTGCTGCTTGTCCAGGTCTTAGTGGATCAGGAATAGAGAAGGGATGAGCAGAAAGTAGGCCATGTCCCCCAGAGGCCCACTTCTTCCAGTGAGGCCTAAAAGCTTCCTACTTCACAGACCATTGGCTGGAGCTGAATATTCAGATATATGAGCCTGTGGTACAAATTTTTTCACATCCAAACCTTTTGCCCCTGGCCCCTATGGGCTTTTGATCATCCCCTAATGCAATATGTACTCAGTGTAGCTTCAAAAGCTTTCCCAGCCTCCTAGCTGTAACTGTTCAAAAGTCCAAAGTTGCTTTTGAGACTCAAGGCTATGACCCTTGTAAAACAAAAGAAAACAAAGCAAACAACTACCACCACAACAAAATAAGCTTTCCATTTTCCCATCCCTAAAATAGAGAAATGCGAGCATAGCAAAGAAAAATTGGGCCCAAGCAAAACCAACAGCAGGACAAATGCCAACCCCCCAGCTCCGTGTCAAGTATCAGGGACACCTGATGGCATCATCAAAGCTCAAAGGGCTTGAGTAGTCCTACCTGTTAGCTCTGTTATCTGTAACACACATGGTCTCTCCCGAGGGTCAGTTCTGCCCAGTGCTCGAAGTTTTCCTCATGAACTGGCATCTCCAACCACCATCCTGG